GATACATACGAAAATTGCACAATGTAGTGCAGCGGAAGACTCAAAGATATCACCTGACCTCTCAGATACTGACGCGACAACCCATCATTCACCACACATGTGAGACAGAGGGGAGGGACTGCGTACCTGGAAGAAAAGTCCCTCCTTGAGCACGCACATGGGGATGTACCACGGATGAGGACATTTGGGAGAGGCGAGACGAAGCTGGAGATGAGGGAGAAGACCAAGATCGCGATAGCGACGTCCAAAAATAGTCTCCCTGTCGAATGTCCAATCAATGTCTGCCACAAAAAAGTCGAATCAGATCCTGGGCCTCATAGCCCTATGTAACCTCTGCCTGTAACCTCTCTCTCTCTCTTTCTCTCTCTCTGAAAGAAGAAGAAGAAGAAGAGGAAGAAGAAGGAAGGCGGGAGGAGAGATGGAGGGTGAGATTAAGAAGAAGAAGATGATGTCGTCCTCCTCGCTGTCTCACCTGCAGGTAACTGCTTTCATGTACTAACTGCCGCCGACGCGTCTCTGTGTGCAGGTTGCTGGCCTGAAGTCCAGCTATGGCGCCCAGGTAAGTACCGCCATGGCAGGTATGGCCACCGCCTCACTCCCTACCTACACCTCTACCTCTAACGCAGCGCTGTGTCGCGCTGGTCCTGCAGCGTGTCGCCCAAGAAGTGAGCTACTCGAACTGTGTGTTTGCCCTGGCCTGAACCAGCTATATGTAGCGTCGGGCCTCGCTGGTGTTCCTCTGCCTGGGTCCCTACCTGACGTCCAGGCCCTCCCTGCCGATGCAGGGAGGCCCTACCGGACGTCCGCTACTGGATGAACACGAACCTGGCCCGAAAGGACCTGCCTGCGAGTGAACAAGGCCCAAAACGTGGCCTTTGTCCGAACAGACCAAAAGTCTGTTCGGACGAACTGCAAGTCCGAAACGACACCTGAACAGACAAAAATAGGACAGCAAATAAATAATAAATAAATAAATGCTGCATCAAATCGAAACATGCGGCCCTAAGGCTGGCCGTGGGCCTCCAGGGCGCATGTCCGAAGGGCGTGCGGCCTGGGGGCCCCCAGCAACGTTCGGGCCCCTGAAATGGGGCTCGTGTGCAGGCTCAGCATGTAACACTCCCCCCTCATTATGAAGTCAAGCCGGGTCAAGGGCGAAGCTGACGATCCGATGGCGGAACCTGGACGCGAGTACGGCGTGGAGTCGAAGGAGCCGGCTTGCGTTGCTGTTTGCATTTGTAACGTTCGAGGACATCGGGGGCTTTAGCCTGAAGTTCCACACGTGTCAACCAACGGTCAGCCTTATGGCTACAATAGGAAATATGTACTAAGTAATCTGTTGGCTTGGTGCCGTAGCGCCGCTGCAAAATGGAGGGTGGGTCTTGCGATCGTCGCCCGGGATAGTCGTCAAGTTCCGCCGAAACGAAGAGAGCCAACTTTGAACAATAAAAAACCGGGTAGACGGGCAAGTGGGCGGGCACCTGAATGACAAATGAAGGTCCTTCGGGTGCGTCACCAGCGGGTGCTACAATGCGGCAAGGCCCCTTCCATTTCGGAAGGAGCTTGCGAGAGAGATCTTGTTCGAGGCTGAATTCTGCGGCGGAGACCCAAACGAGGCCGCCCGCGCGGAACGGGCAAGGAAGACGCTGGCGATTGGCTCGATGGCTCATGCGTTGCTGCGTCTTCGACATCTGGTCCCGTGCCTTGACAAGGAGCTCCGTCAAATGAAGATAGAGCGGTAGAAGGGGGCGCGAAGGAGTAGGACTGGTGCTTTGAACAGACCAAGTATATGAAAGGTAGAGCCTGTCTTCCACAAGGGCGAATGGTGTGGTGTGGTGTTTAACCCAGGTCATCATCCAGGTAGGCTAGAGTTCGAGTCCCCAGATTGTCCACAGGGGAAGTGAGTTATTGAGTGAACCAACCTGGGTTATCGATCGCATCGATGTATCCCTGAACTGACCTACAATTGTGTGTGATGCTCTCTACAGTGCCTCACTGGTTCATGGGTTTATTACTGCACCAAATTCATTGCAAGCAACCAATTCCGGTCTCGACTTAAAGCCAGTCATACAAACATTACAAGTAGAGAGATTGAACAGAAATCGATAAAGTGTTAAATATTATTAAATAGCGAAATGGATAATGAACATCAATGATCAATTGAACAATTAACAAAGAATAACAAGAGTCCAATCTTCAGCCCCTCCACTTTGTCATCAAAGTTAGCTCTACTCTACCTATAACTCTCTTCTACCATTCAAAGTATGGTCCAACTCTCTGGCGATGGACAGGCACTGAGCTGGCGCTGCTATCATTGGGGTTGCTGGTTCAGATTGGCACGTTGTGACAGTTGTGGGGTTACCGCTGCTACGGCAGCCTAGCCAGGGGTATGAGGTGGTGACGAGGAAGAAGAAGACTCCTGCATTCTTCGTTGCTTTTGGTTGCTCAGGGTTGTTGTAAATGCGGAGTCACTTTCAGATCAAAGTGTCCGTGGATGAGGTTGTCCAGAACCACTACCGTCTTCAACCGAATAGAATGCCCAGTCATTGTAGCTGTATTCGGTGCCACTTTCAGACTAGACACAGTGATAATGACCGGGCACACGCACACACACATGCGCACACGCGTGCGCGTACACACACACACACACACACACACACACACACACATGCACATGCACAGGAGCATACCTTCCCCTTTACTCTGCCTCCTGTTATAACATGCAAGTGGGCTGTTAAGGCACACGGGGATGTGGGCAGCTGCCGCTTAACCACAATCAACGTGGGCGGCTTCTGTACGTGCGAGGCGTAGTAAGAGAGGAGCTGTTGCCCCAAAGAAACCCCAGCTAACACAGTTCTGAATGGTTCTATTATGATTCATGTTGCTTGCTAACGAGGTGAAATTCTTTAATTGTTGGGCTGGCTCAACTCGAATCTGCTCGTCTGGGTGGAATAGGGACTGTTGTGGTGGAAATTCAAAACACACAGACACACACACACAGAGAGAGAGAGAGAGAGAGAGAGAGAGAGAGGGTATGTGTGTATAGCACTGTATACGTGTTTCTGTGCAAGTTCTGTACCGAACTGACCAGCTACAGGCAATCTTGTTAGATTATGTGAAGTCGTATGCATACTTTGAAATAAAATTGTATCAGATGAGTGATCTGATTGACCCTAAACCCTAAATCCAGAAGGGCAATTATCACTTGTTGTCGATGAAGAGTTGTATGGTAGTGATGCATGGTCCTGCACCGTATTCCTTTTTTTTTTTTTTTCAATTCCAGGCCCTGTCTCCACAGTTGAAGGTGTGATGCGGTTTTTGAACAGCCTTAAACAAGTCAGTAGTGATGCATGGTCCTGCACTATATTGCACAACTTTGCTACCCTTTGCCATTGTGGTTTTATTCTAGGACACAGGAGGAAACAGTGATATAAGTTTTCCATTTGACCATCACTACAGTTGGCGCATAGTTCTTTTGAGGGGACTTCTGTCCTCCTTTTTTTTCTTACGTTTAGCCATTGGTTCAGTGGGACTGCTTGGTAAAGGATTAACCATTGTAGGCTTCTGAATTTGGGAGGGTTAATAGACGCTATTCTGTTCCATGGTATCGGGTCTAGTGCTTCTGATTCTACATCAAGGTGTCCTTTCCAGTGTTCTGTTATTATTGGGTCCGGGTTTGCCGACTGGCGTCTCAACCTATAGCCTAGTCTGGTTGTGTATTGTAGAAGGTTGAATTTGGTTATAATTCCTGAAGTTCCTTGCTTTAGATTCCATGTCCATTCTGCTGGGTCGCACTTCTAGGATCTCCATTGGGGTTTGAAGGCAATCGATGGTTAACTCTTCGTTTTCTATTACTCTTATCTTCCTTAGGCTATCTTCCCGGGATGAAACTGGTTTTTGTGGATCTTGCTGTGATCAGA